TTCAGAACTGGAGGTTATAATTCAGAAACGAGAGATCTTTCCATCATTGGCAGCTCCACTAAACCATTGGTTTAATGTGCTGTGGCAACAGAACCAATCAGCAATGTGTCAGGTGTCCCTGAGAGAATATTGATGACAAGACAAAAGATGTGATCGTGTTACTGTACAAATGGGCCCACATCTTCACACAAAGGCACACAGATAACCACACAGTTGATATATCGGATGGATTTGCTGCCATTCAGAGGGACCTTGACAGGTTGGAGAATGAGGCAGAGAGAAATCTTGTGGAGTTCAACAAAGGGAAGTACAAAGAAATCATCCCAGACACTGGTACAAGCTGCAGGCCAGCTGGTTGGAAAGCAGGTCTGCAGAGAAGGGCCTGGGCATTCTGGTGGACAGTAAACTTCACAGCAAAGAAGGTGAACAGCCTCCTGGGCTGTGTTAGGCAGAGTATTCTCAGCCGGTGAGGTCCCTTGTATTCAGTGCTGGTGAAACACATGTGGAGTGCTAGGTCCTGTTCTGGGTTCCCCAGTTTATGTGTCTATGTGGACTTGCTGGAGCAAGTCCAGTGGAGGGCTACAAAGATTAAAGGGCTGGAGCCTTTCTCAAATACAGAGAGGATGAGAGATCTGCAACTCTTTAGCCTGGAGAAGAAAAGGATCAGGGGTCTTAAAACCTCGCCAGGTTTACCTGCTGTCTTGTTCAGGTTAGCATATTGGACAGTGTGGGCCCTTTGCTCTGAGTCAGTACGGCAGTCCTTATATCCTTCTGTGGATTCCATACATTGAAACCCACCTTGTTTTTTGCATTTTGTGCTGAATTTCAGTTCTGATCTGTTTCTGCTGTTATGTATCTCTGTGCCACATCGAGCCTTGTTTCCTTTTGTCTTCCCCTGGACTCTGCTTATCCATAAGCCATTTTCTCCATCTGGCATAAATTGCCCTTTAGTCTTACAAACTGTCATTATTGTATGATTTCTGAAGTACTGTAGAGCAAGATGAAATCTGGCCTGTGGCAACGAGCACCAGCAGCATGAAGGGTATGAAGATTTACGTTTGTTTACTGTTGCTCAGCTTTTATCCAAGTCTGAACTTTCTCCCCCTATGGACTGGTAAGTAGACTTTGCCTAACTGGAACAACTTTGCTCACTTTGAGTTAATCTTCTGCTTGGTAAGAATGCCATGTTGTGAAGTCACTCAGAACTAGACACTCATCTGGTGAAGTCAGCTGACTAGTTTAATTTCACAAATTAAATTGGTAAATTGATTTACTTCATTTGCACTGGGCCTATGTGTCTTTTAACAGTTGTTTCCTTTTAGGACAAGATGCCCAGAATTAACTCTCTGGGCTACTCTACAAAACCATTTAATTTAATAGAGAAATTTACTTTTTCCTTATGGTATATGGTTTCTGAAATAGCTGTCTATTTTGGAACTAAATAACATGTTTCATGAAAGCTTTTGAGGAAGAAAAGTTTTGTTCCTTATAGTCTTGCAGCTGTCTAAGGAACTATTACAGATTATGAACTGTTTATGCATTTTGTGACAGCTGGCAACATTGCTCCTTGCTCAACTGTGTATGGAAAAATAGACATTAAAAAAAACCCAAAAAAAGTACGTTTTCCATGAGAATGCCGGGTGTGGTAACGCTGCACAAAACTGCCCTTGGATGCAGTGTGAGTGAAGGGGTTTGACGTGGAAGCAGAATTTTTTGTTGCTTGTTCTTCTATGAGTAGAAAACAACAGAATTTGAATGTCTTTATCTCCCTACTCTTTGTTCAGTAACTCATAGCTCAACATAACTGAGATAGGAAGAATGTAAGTATAGAGCAGTGAAACATACAGTGAGATTTGCCTATCCTAAAGAATCAGAACAATGTAGTGAATATATAATCACCCAGGATATTTAGTATGCATAATGAGAGAACATTACTGTTACCATTTATAAAATGTTGTAACATCTTTCTAAGTTCTTCATATATGGATGGATTTGATGTATGGCTGAGAATGAAATGTTTTAGGAATGAAACTTCCCCATTGGGTTTCTTCCCCCGCCCCGTTACTGATAACTGTTCTCTTTTATTTTTTTTTACAAATAATATATGTACAGTAATTTCTAGAAGGAAGGATAGCAACTACCAAGGAAGCAGCCTGATTAAGAGACTAAGGAAATATTTTGGGCCTAAGGAAATATTTTGGGCCATGACATGAAGAATAAACATGACAAATCAAATCTGTGGTAAATAGTTAACTCTGATCTGCAGAAAAGGAAGGAAGAAAACAATGTCTGGCTTGCTCATGGATTTACCTGTGGCACAAGCAGTGGTGTGAACACCTGTTTATTTCCAGGCATCAGTGCTTGGCTGGAGTGAAAAAAAATTACTAAACTATGTTCAAAGATTTTTTGTTTAACCCATGTTTCTTTTGCAAGCCAGGGTCCTACTGTTCAACCATAAAGTTGTTCAGTACTCAGTCCTTATATCCAAGAACAACAAGAAAAATGGATGATTTTCCTGTACAGTTGATTTTGTTCCAGTGAGTTCCAGTAAATAAATATGGTGCTTATGTGACCCAAGTCTTTGCTAGTGGTTATGCAGCTGCCTCATAACTTATCATGACTGAAGCTCTGTTCAGAGTTAGCCACGTCTCTGATCAGTGTCCCTGCTTATCCCCTTTGACCCATCCAACTGCATTTGCTTGCTTGAGGTCATGTCTGCTCTGGCTGCTGTGCCTCTGTCTTCTCCTGATTTCTCTTCTACCTCCCTATTTATTCCTCTCCAGCTCCTTCCTCCTTTTCTGTGAGGGTTTTGTGCCTCTGATTTCTTCCTCTTGTGTGTTTTTCTAACTTGTTCTCGATGTTTAGAAGGATCTCCACGTAAGTTAGCAAAGGCACTTCAGAACTCTTCTTCAGCCTCTGGTACTTCTATTTTGGCAGGAAGTCTACAGAAATATTGAAAGCAAGTAAGTATACGGATAATGTGCTGAAATGATTGATCATATTATTGACTAATCATCTTAGTTTTTGGTTTGGTTTTAGTATTATCTATTTGTCCATATTTGGGGGTAGCAACTGTATACTTTGCTTGGTTAGCAACTGGAGTCCCTCATTTTAGACCATGTCCTAAGTAATACAAATAATTATTAATAATATTTTTTTTATATTATGATGTTGATTAAAGGCAACGGTAGTCACAAATCCTAGGGTATCACATAAATTATATAGAATGGAGAGATTTATTTTCACCCATGCAGAAATTCAGTACATGCTGAACTCTTTCTGTATTCCACATGACTTTATGCTTTTATTTATGTTATCTCTCATTGGATACTCTGCTTTTCCTCCACCCTTGTACTCTGTACAGTTGGTGGATACTCTTGGGGGGCTCACAGTGTATTGCTTTCAGGTTTTTTACTATGGCTTTCTCTTGCCTTTCAAGTGTTTTAATTCAGTGGCTTAAATCTACCTTTGTTTTTCCTTCAGCTTCTTAACAAAATGTCTGCACTAGTCTTATTAAATTTGTCAGCCAGTTGGAGAATGAACTTTGCCAGATCTTCCTAACTGATTTATAGAACTGAAGTCTCCCCATTCTCTAGGGCATACACTCTGATTTTTTTATGTAGAATAACCTTATTTACATTGTTCTTTCTTCTGGCCAAGGAATCCTCTTATTCTCCCAAATGGAGCACTATGAATGCTAGAGCACAGTGTATCTTTTTCAGTTGGCTGGCCTTTTTGAGATCGAGGTGTTCCTAATCACAAGGGTTTTATGAATGATTAACAAACAACACATCTGTCCTTTGGACTCCTTTGACTTACAAAGAGCTGCTTTACTAAATGCATCTGTGTTTCTTCTATCTGCACAAGATTATTCCCATTGAAGTTTCTGTATTTTTCTCATCAACTTCATTTCAGCAAAAATGGAATGTGAAAAGAGGTGAAATTTGGACTAAATTTACATTAGCCTAACAACTCTGTTGTTAGAAATGACATAATAGAGAGCAGTATTCTTCAAGGAAGAAAAGTAAGTTTTGATCCAGAAACATGGGCTATTGAAGACAGGCGCAGCAGTGGTGCGCAAAGGAGAAGCTGTAACTGAATGAGAAAAGCATTTTTTGAGTAAATTCAGTCTGGTGGACTACTGAGTTCCTACTTTATTAAACCTGAACACAGGCAGGCTCTTTGTGGGCTTTAGTGGTCTTTAAATCTCCTTTGTCCCATTCTCTCTTTTGTAAAGGGATAATGATCATAAAATCACTTTATTCCAGAAGAAAAGATTTGCCACAAAAATCCTAAGCCTTTTTTACCTGTGAAATTGAGATTTTGGCACTGTATCTACCTCGAGTACCAGTGGAAAGAGAGAAAAAAGAAGAAATAGGGTAAAAGGAAGTGTTGGCAAGGTGGAGAAGAGCAGTGAAAGAAGACAGAGATGCTGAGTGCAGAGAAGTAGCGGGCCAAGTTTTATGTTAGTGGTTATTTTCACTGGTTAAGAAATGCAGTGTGCAGTGCCACTACTGTTTATATTTCTGCAGAATGCTGTTGCTTGAGCTGAAACCTGTTTAAGTATCATACCTGTACTAGGTATGAGAAGAAACAGAAAAAGTGTCTTACCACAAATCCCCCAACACATCAATCTCACATGTGGAAACAGTCCATGTTTCCATGGTTGCATGTGAGGCTATTACTCTTAATGAAGAGGAAGTAGCTTAAAGACTGATAGACTTCGCAAATCTCAGCATAGTGTCACAGAAAAATAAACTGCATCTTGAATCTGCCTCTTCCAATAAGAGAAAAGAGGCTCCTGAGTAGATGCCACAAGGTGGTCTTTGAAGGACTCAGCTCCAGAGCCCGAGAGAGCCTCCCAAGGGAAGGGTAAATCTCTAGATAGCTTGTTTTTTCTGCTACTTAGCTAGCTGGTCCTCAGGCTTCCCATCCTAAATTTTGGCATTCCTTTTTACGGGTAACAAGAGCACTGTGAGATACAACTGATGAAGGATACCTCATGCATGTGAACAATTACATAGGACTGAAAGTTATCATCTGAAATGATGGCAAAATAATTGTGAAATGTAATGTCAGACACAGTGAAAAAGATGCGGCCAAACATGACTGCCACAGAATGCTGCAGAATATAATTATGTCAAACAATGATGTGATTTTTTTTTCTTTCTGTGGAAAAATGTACAATAACAATGAATAAAATCAAAATCATCAACACATAACTGGGAAACTGTAACAACCATTTCTATGCTGGGGCATAGATGATTAAAAGAAAAAATAACATAGCTAGAAGGTGACATTAAAACTGCACCTGGCATTAGATGCAAAGGTTGTCTAAAAGAATCATAGAATCCTAGAACAGTTAGGGTTGGAAAGGACCTTAAGATCATATAGTTCCAACCCTCCTGCCATGGGCAGGGACACCTCCCACTAAACCGTGTCACCCAAGGCCTTGAACACCGCCAGGCATGGAGCATTCACAAGTTCTTGGGCAACCCATTCCAGTGCCTCACCACCTTCACAGTAAAGAACTTCTTCTTTATATCTAATCTAAACTTCCCCTGTTTAAGTTTGAACCCATTACCCCGTGTCCTACCACTACAGTCCCTAGTGAATGGTCCATGGAGGATTTTACATTTTCCAAGTTTCCTTTGCTCCAGTGCAGTCTTTTTAGAGAAGTAATACTCATCAGCTGTGTATGGCTACAAAAAGAGTGTGTAATCCATTCTTGAAATCTAAAAGATATGTTAACACATCTTATGTCCGTGTATCTGTAGACCTTGAAAGTTGAATTGCTGAAATTGAGCCCTTGCTAATGAGGAACACTAGGCTAGTGCTCAAAACTGTGCCCTGTCATACCACATCATCAGGTATGGATGAAAAAAGCAGCTAAGATTCAAACTGCTGATTAGAATAGCTACCTGTGCTATGCTAATGAGAAAGTTAAACCAAGAAACCCAAGTGAAATAAATAATTAATGCAGTCTTCCATGCATACTTCCCTCATCCTTCTAAATCCCTTGATCTTCTAATTTGGCTTTGAGGAATTTTAGACAACTCTTCTAATTCTTTTCAGTCTGCTTATTTCTAGCTTTTCAGTAAACGACAAGTATTTTCACTTGTCTCCTTTGCAAAGCAGAACCCAGAATTGCAACATGTATGTGCATGTTTTTCGTACAGGTGTACTCTTAAGGTTTCTTACATGGAATAAGAAATCATCCTTCATTCTTAATATGCTGTCAGCTAAAGACACTGACAATTTAGGAGAACAGGGCATATGGTGTCCTCACAAACTTACTAGAGGTAAGATTTACCCAATCTGCATATGATCAATGACCTCTGAATATTCAATAGCAAAAATTCAACAGCAAAAATTCAAGTGTATATAAGTAATAATAGGGAAGGCTGAGTTGTATATAAAATATAATGAAGAGGTCCTATGCTTCAACACTGAAAAAGACAAACAGAAAACTATCGAATATTAAATAGATTTAATATTCGGTCCACATAAACATTCACAAATATATTCTAATCTTCCATTGTTTGTAGGGACATTCACTTGTACTGGTTACAAGTTTATTGCTGTTTTATCATGAGGATTAGCATAATCATGCATCTAAGCCTAAAATTTCTGATAAATAGCAGAAAGCTTATTTGCAACTCGGCAACAGGCATTTTGGGCTAAGACTCAAGCTGTTTGGACTTAGCAAACAACAAGGGAAATCTTGAATTTCAGCAATTATAGTTCTGGATGCTCATGGCTGTAGAATATGTAGGGTGCATGGTGATTGGTCAGATTGATACATAACACAGCAATACCTGCCTCAAAACCAGCTGGTGGGTGAAGGACTGGGATAGAGTAGTTCATGGTGTACAGCACTGGGATCACAGGTACAGAACTTCCAATGTTGTGCTTTTTTGCAGAAATTCAGAAAATGGGTTGTCACTGGAATATAAATTAATGTGAAATTACATCTGATCAACTATAAGGACAGTATGATACTATGTTTCATGCTTTAGGGGGTTTATCTTCTTATATGAAGTTCTCATAACCTACCTGGGTATCAGTCCTGTCCAGGTTTCAGGAGCTGCTTTGTTTCTCCCCTTATAAAGGAGCAAAAAATATGGTCTTTCGTCTTCATATTGCAATTCCCTTATTAACATCCTCAATAATTTTATGGCAAGAGTTTTAAGGAGTTGCTTAAGATATCATATACTGAATTTGCTCTTCAGTCGAATATTCCACCTTTACTGATAAAAGGATACCTTGATACTGTTTTATTGACCGTTTCTCCTTGCATTTGGTTAGGTGGTGAATCTGTGTACTTTGTGGTTGTACATCTGGGACAGTGTTTATGATGAGAAAGCCATAAATTTTCCTTTTTATTAGTTGCCCCTGGTTACAAACAGATTCTCATCTGAAGATCTAACCTGCCTGGCTTAGAGACACATAAATATTTTGGCAGGATTTGCTATCTCACTTTACTCCCAGTTTTCAGTCTTCCTCCTCTCCCATCCGTATATTTGAGGCATTCCAAACTTCCATCTTCTTTTACTGTATGTGCCCCAGTAGGCCCACTGTAATTTGCTTACAGGGCATGGACTTCCTCTCTCCATTTTTTGCTGTTAGTATTGGCCATGCTATCTGGTACAGAACTTACTACATAAGGTACTGAGTTACCACAAACTCCTAAATTCGATACCAAAGAATGCATTTTGGTTGCTTACTGAAGAATGCAAATTTGGGATCACAAATTCCGGTCATTTTGTCAGGCCTAGCTTGCTGCCAGTGCTGAAATGTGTGGCATGATACTTTATCCAAACAATTCTTCCACTGAGTTAGAAAATATAATAAACTTTTTATGAAAACACAGATCAGGGTTCATGATGTTTCAGACCAACATGGGTAAAGCCTTTAAATTCTTAAACCAATAAAATTACAAAAGAAATCAGTGTCTTACACTAAGGACTGTGTCACTGGCAGCCCATGCTGCTTGCTTTCATTCAAGATTAACTTTTCTTCAGCCAATAACTGCCATGTTCCTCATGGGTATTCTCATGCCATTAATCTGTTAGGAACAGGAACAAACCCAAACACCTTTACTCACGAGGGGAGGTATTGGACCAGTATGTCCCATCACACCTTTTTCCTAGCTCAGAATTCCCAGAGTAGTATCATGCTAAAACTGATGGTAGGATTGAAGTATAATTCTTTCTAGGTACATGTAAGTGCCAAAACATGTGTGCTCCTTCCATTATCTTACTGTGTATGTGGTGGTAACACTGCTTTCAAATTTTAAATGTCTATATCATATTTTAAAAATCTAGTTTTTATCTAGTCCAAGTAGTAGATAGTGTCCTGGGAATTTATTGGAAGCCTGTAATTTAGTTCATACCTGGCTCAGATAACTAGATGGTTTGAAGTGAAAGTTAAAAATATGAATAGAGAATTCTAATGTTTCTATTGGTGTTTCTAGTGAAGCTATGTAACATGAAGTGTACAATCTAAAAAGATCTCTCATGTCAAAAGTACTACATTAGTAGTCCCAAGTGCATTAATTCGGAGAAGAATGTCTGAAATTTATATCACTGAAATGTGTATCACTGCAATCCACCCTGAGAATCATTTCATTAATGAAAAAGGAATCACAATTTTCTTGACTCTGTAATCCACTGGGAGTATTACTGGAAGTGTAAATTGCACATCCCAGCAAAAAGGCCATTTTGTTGTCATAGCGAGGTGAAAAACAAAGATTGAGTCCAAGTTCCGATCTGTTGTGGCTAGGTATGGAGCCATTGACTTTACTCCAGAACTTACTAGTTTATATTCACCGAGGAGCTGAGTCTGTGTGGTGCTCCAGAAAGTGATTTCAGACAGTGTGACCCAAAGAAGCTATGAAAATTGTGAGAGGCACGATGACCTGGTATCAGAGGTGGTGTCTTTCCATGTGTTACTGCTGTGGTTTGACCCTAGCTGGCAACTAAACACCACACAGCCACTCATTCACTGCTCCCACCTAGTGGGATAGGGGTGAGAATTGGAAGAGTAAAATTGAGATAACTCATGGGTTGAGATAAAGACAGTTTAATGGAACAGAAAACAAAGACAATGACAATAATAGAGTACACAAAGCAAATGATGCACAATGCAATTGCTCACTACTCACCAACTGATGCCCAGCCAGTTCCCGAGCAGTGGCCTGCTGCCAGTTTTCCACCCAGTTTTGTGTGCTGAGCATGATGTCATATGGTATGCAATATCCCTTTGGACATATGGGATCAGCTGTTCTGGCTGCGTTCCCTTCCAGCTTCTTGTGCCCCTCCAACCTCCTCACTGGCATGGCATGAGAAGCTGGGAAGTCCTTGACTTAAGTTTAGAAACAGCTGAAAACATCAGTGTATTATCAACATTATTCTCATACTAAATCCAAAACACAGCAGTGCACCAGCTAGTAGGAAGAAAATTAATTCTATCCCAGCTGAACCCAGGGCCGTTATACAGACTCACTGGGGAAGAGGCTTGAGCCATTGCTTTTTGTTTTAAGTCAGTAGGGTTAGTGGAAGAGCTTTGTTCCTCCTCTTTTGATTTCATTTGACTGTCTCCAGTACAGCTTAAACCCTTTCACTTTCTGGCCATGGTTCAATGATGTCCAGCTGTATGGCTGTATGGAGATATCTGAAGGGTATGAGGGCACAGTCAAGAGAGCAGTTTAGAAAGCAGAAATATATTAACTTGTATATTTCCTTGAGTTTGGGGTTTTGTTTTTTGTTTGTTTTTTTTTTGGTTTTTTTTTTTGTTTTTTGTTTTTTTTGTTTGTTTGTTTATTTGTTTTCTTTTTTTAAAATGTTTATTACTTTTCTGACTTTATTGAGTTTTTATTCAGTTGTTCCAAATTTAAGGTTCTGGAATTTGGTTTTGTTATGGTTTTGTATCTGCTAGTCCAAAAATAATGAATGCTTCACAAGAGACACAACTGTAACTTTGTTCTTTTACCACTACTAGGTTTAGCTAAGCATCTACAGTACAGTCATGGATAGCTTCCAGCCATCTGAGAAATGCTTACCTGTCAGAGCTTTTGCAACTGCACGGGCTTTTGCCAAGTTGCATCCACTAACACCAGGATTGAATTTGTGCTACACTGATGTTTATAAATTTGGAAGCTTCCGGAAAAACAGTTGGATATGATGTTTGGAACCAAATTTGGAATGGTTATGGGCATGACTGGGTTAGAGCTTCTGATTTTGCATCTCTGAACAGTAGTATTACCTAGGGCCTATAGAGAACATGCAGATAATTTGGCTTTCAAAATTTCTGTTGAAACTGAAGCTTAAAATATTTCTCTACCTTTGTATAGGACTCAAGAATGTTTTGGCATGTGTCCTCAGGTGTGACTGACCTCTCCATGTTGGTGCACATTCTCCATGGGGCAGTGAACTGACATTCTGAGAGGTTAGGAATGGTTTGTTCTAGTCTGGCTGTGTCATCAAGGACACTTCTGGAAAAAAAGCTTGATTTTTAACAGTTTTAGTTGAAGTCTTTTGGAAGTTTCACAGTGAACTTCCCCAGAATTGTTTTGGTTGTGTGTGGCTAAGAGGTCAGCAGCATTAGAGTAAATTGGGTATCAGTATCCTTAATGATAAGGCCTCAAATGAGATACAATGTGTGCACAAGTCAGTCATTTCAGGTACACAGAAATGCACCTTGGTCACCACAGACCACTGCATGTTGACATAAAATAATTCATTCTGTCAAGTAAAATGTTACTGTGATTGACTCTCCTTGTAGAGTTTTAGTATTTCTTACAGTCATCAAAATACTAGTGTTAGAATTGCTTTGCAACACTGTGGGCAGGTATCATGTATGTGTTGACAATTTTTGCTTTAATTTGATCTCAGCCTGATTATGAAGATGCTATTGCAGCATGCAAGATGTCTTGAAAACTTTCAAGAGTTTTCTCTTGCTGAAGACTCTGGGATGCAGTGAAACAGTTCTGCTAGTTGTGACCATATTTCAGTGTCTTAGGAAGAGCCCACTAGCCACTGTAGTAGTATGAGTTTTGCCTTTCCTCTCTACAGCGTTCTTAGTGATAGTCTAAGTGCTTGATATTTCATTCTTCTCAAAACCCCAAATCTGTTCAGTGCTTTCTCCAGAGAAGAATGTTTGTAGGTGTGATGACAGTTGCAGGTGGTACTTTGTAAGTACACAAGCTTGAGGGTTTTAACAGATTTGGTATTACTAGATTTGAGGATATTGCATCTTGCTTTGTGTTGTTTTGAAGATATTGTAAACTCAGATTTCTGTA